TGAAAATGAACAAGAGAGAACTGCAGCGCAGACATTGCTCTGCCATGCTGTGTTGAGCTGCTGTATCATATCTCTAATGTAAAATATTATGAAAGGATTAGTTATGACAATGTGGTGCAGTCATGTCTTTAAACATAATCTATTCATGATTTTCTCTAAGGCTGGATTCAACCCCAAACTGCAAAGATCTCACTATTAGCTTTTAAATCACTAAGTTAAGCAAATTAATTGTTTTAAGCATGCTGCTTTATTGTTATGACCATGCAGTGTAGTGCAGCCTCTGTTTAAACATATCCAAGCCCACCTTTCCCTACACAGAGTATTTGAGGAGAGCCAAGACAGACAGTGTATCAAAGATGAAAGAACTTGTTTTGTTGTGAATACAGAGGCAGAGTAAAAATGATGAATTTGAAAGAAAGATATTTTTCCCAAAGTGCTATCAAAAGCCCCATGTGTAGCTGCAGAAAGAAAGGAAATAAAAGTAAGGTAGGCAGGGAGAGAGAATGTGGGGAAGCTAATTGATAAGCCCTTTTACTGTCACTGACAAGCAGCATTTGATTACCCACATACGCCCCAAACCATTTCGCCAAACCCTTTCGCCACAATGCTTCCCAGCGTTATTGGATTTTTGCAAAAAATGTTTTTGCATCTTGGCCGAGCTCGGCAGTCCTTGGACAAAGCTCATTTCCTGAGCCGGCAGCTATAATAAACACAAGGGGATTATGGTCATAGTCTTGATTGGATGATGAATTAAGCTTGATGTGTGGGGATGGCTGTGATGTTGTGGTGGGGTCTGATTACAGACTGTGTCGTCTGTTGCATCTTATAAAAATTATCAAAAAATGATGCAGCTTTACACAATGCGAGATGTGTTCTAGCTGTGCACTTAATATAGAATGTATGCTTTACTCATGGAAGATGGTGCTGCGGAAGCAAATCATAACGGATAAGCATTGTTAAAGGGAGAGGTGGACACTGCATGAAATGCAAAGACACAATACTGTATGAAAATATCTCACGAATAGAGTATTTAAGCCACGCATTAAGAATAGTTTTTTATTTTTTTTTCCATAGTTATTCACAATAACATATACAGTGGTCTAAGATTTACACATCCCAACCGTCTTTAAGCATATAGAGCACAATGATATTGTTGTGTTTGGACTCAGTGTACTAAAAATATCTATAATATCTTTTGTTTGACAGTAGATGCCACAAAAGATTTAACGTTTCAACTCAGGATTCAACACTGTACCTTACGAAGAGACAATTTGCAAATTTCAAAAAACATACAATATTTTAAGAAGAGATTTGGGAAATAAATTCAGTTACACTCTTTTGGACTGAGCACCTGGCCATTACACATGTGCATGTTTTTTCACTCTGACTGAAAGTATTAAATAGCCAATTTTATTCATGGACCTTTCATAGTTAAAATGGCCAAATGACCATATTACGTTAACAAGTACCCATTAACAAGAACCCAGTCCTGCTGTTTAAAATCTCTGATTATTATAGTCTTTTATGCCTAATTCCATTGCCACATGGATATCATAATCATGTCACAGTGGAATGTAGCCATGAAAATAACAAATTATAGCTTTTGAATAGTAACAGAAGAAAGATTCTTAAAGAATGACAAAGCAGTGCTGCTATGGTATAATTAGTTTTGCGCAATAATATCAGAGTTGCCATTGAGACCCCCGTTCCTCTGATGACCATGATGATTGTGCTTTTCTTTTCCACTTACTCAGTAGCCGCCTAGCAAAAGAACAGTATATCATAGCAAGGTCGAGCAGGGCTCAGGTCAGTGCAGAGTATAATTTGGAACAGTTGAAGGGCTGTCTACAGGGCAGCTGCTTAATTAAGTGTTAAATATAAAATACTTGCAGGGCTCCCATAGTTGTATCCACATAATATGTCTGAGTTTCATGGGGATGCTTTTGATCACCTACAGTGTGCGGCCCCTGAGGAGATCACAGTGCAGGAACAGTTCTCAGATCCTCCCTATACAGTATATGTGGTTGTGAAAGGATTGCATGCCATGCGGTCTATTGCATCATAGAATGGGAAACAGTCCAGTCATTGCTGTGCATCGTCTGCAATCTTGTGCCTCGTTTTGAGACGTTTTATTTCCCCCTTACATTGTAGCAAATTAAAATGAAATATGTATATATTTGCTAATGTTGTTTTTAACGATTCCAGATGCTAACTAACACAAAATCTTAGCAAGGCTTTGTAATTTCCTCACCTCAATCTGGGGATGGTGATAATGATGTAGCAGGTGATTGGTTCAGATGCCAGCTTCTGTAGCTTTACTGTATGTGAATATACATCCGATATCCGATCACAGCATGTTTTCTGGCCTGTCCAGTCAGAATGCAAGAAAACCCAACCTAAGGAGGCTACAGACCTGCCAGTCAATGTGTCTTGACAAGTTTCGAATCTGAAAGTAGCATTAAAAAGACATTCTCGGTGGAAATAAGCAGTCTCACATACAATTTATCAATCACACTATTATTGCACTGCAGCTCTTCAACTTCAACAAGTCCTGTTTTAACTAAAGGGATTCTGCTATCCATGGAGTCTACTCATTGTGCTTCTCAGCACCAGCACAGAGCTTCACTTCCCCTCTCACTCCCTTTGGGATCGTGTAGGCCTGCAGTTTATTCACCATATCTCTAATTGCCTCTAAGGGAGCCTCTGCCTCTCGTTGCATGTAGCTCTGTACTAGCCCACAATGGACATTTCCATGAGTAAATCCAACATTAGGGAATTAATTAGGCAGAAAACAATGGGTCATAAGAGTGCTAACGACAGAATAACAAGGCACGCAGTCTTATTTGGTGCTCACCAGACGTAGCATACAACAGGGAAGATGCAGAATGCTAATTAGCTTTAGAGCTTAGCTATGGCCCATTTTCAGCGGTGACAATATTTTATGTCCAAGATACTGCTCATGTTGTAAAGTTTTACCAGTAGACCGTGTTGACATGTCTTCAAACCCTGGCTAGTCAATGAAGCAAGCACAATTTCTCTGCATTACTTATCATATACTACAAATAATTTAGGTTGTTTGTATGTTCAGATTATTAAAGAAGCAATTTTAGCAGAACAAGCTGTAAACACAACATTGCTATATTGTCATCTTCTCATTGTTAGCCAACAGTCAGGTATTTACACATCCTGTAGACACTGAGAAACATCAACATTGATTTGGAGTGGTCTCTCTGGAGACTCGTCAAATGTAAATCAAATATAAATGCTCCTTTCAGCTCGGTTTTGGTCTCCACCAGCTTCTGAGGGAAATATCTGGCCCTTGAGCTGCCAAATGCTCCAATCTGTTCACCAGTTATTGGGACTGAACCAAAACAATGAGCTAAAAGACACATTTTAGCTTTGTGATGCTAAAACACTCCATAGCTGAGGGAAAGTGCAGAGTTAGGGGATAATTCTCTGTGGGTTAATCGCTACTGACAACCCTTTCACATTAAACATAATCATTTGTTGTATGTAAACACCTTACAGTTTTTCTCGATTGCTTAAACACATTTCTTGAAATGATGCCTCTTTTTCTCGAAACTCTAAACACAAATCCACTACTTCTCACACAATTCCCCAAACATCCTATTTTTAGGTCAAAATGAAGCTCTCCACTCAAAACCATTAAATTATGCTGAAAAACCAAACTTTGCCCACAGATATGACACACAAGCACTCAAACACTCACACACACTACAACACAGTTTTACTCACTGGTGAGATAAATTCAAAACAATACTACAAAAACCGATCTATTAGTAATGTTGCTTTTGGTTCTCCCCCTCAGAAACCTTTTCACATGATGAACACAACAAAAGAAATGACAAATGTATACATTTGTACATTTGCACACATTTTTTAATCCTTAGTGTGCTGTACAGAACACTCTGACTGACTCTGGCCCTTTTATTTAGCTATTGAAGCGTTTGATTGGTGTGTTATCAATTATGACTCTTTGTGTTTCCACCTGGGTAGTTGAGCTAATTGAGCTCAACCTGTGCTGATTGAGTGAACAATATCAGATGGCTTTGCTTTCTCAATGACCACATGGTGTAGGCAATGAGAAATGAAGGCATATGGGTGTGCTTTTGGAAAAATGGAGTTATGCTTTTTAAATTTTAGTTCAAAAGCCTGCTTATAGTGTTTATGCAATGGATATAACCTGTAATCCGAGCAGCTTTAAAGCAGAAATCCATAATTTTCCATAGGTTGTGGGGCTTCTACAGCAGCAAAATACTGTAAACGGCTTTCAAATTAAAGAAATGGCAGACTATTCAGATTTCCCTTCCACAAATTGTTCAACATGCATTTGCCAACACAAGCTCTACCTCTGTTTAGTGATCTCACATAATTATTATTGCTCGTCAGGTAACACTAAGTGGCTGGCATGCCTAAATAATTATAACATTACCTATCCAAAATAAAATGCATTGTCTTTAAATTCTTTTTATCCTTTAGTTGTTTTCAACCATGCATATGCTTCTTATCTAATATTCACTCGTGTCTAAAAGCAATTTCTGTCTCATCTCTTTTGGCTTTTCTGCTTGACTCAGATTGATGCTTTCTTTTACATTGGGTGCAGAAGATTGTGTTGAAACCTAGTATTACTTGAAAAATTGAAAAGTTTATCCATCAGCAAGCAACTTTGTTGTACTGTTGAAGTCAAGCTGCTTTTGCTCTCAGCTGCTTGTGACTCAGCTGCTCCTCCAGCTCACCACATCCAGGAAGCTTGAAATAGCAGGGGATATGAGACCAATTATATTTTGTCATCTCTTTTGCTTCCTGTCTCGTCTCTTTCTTCCAGCACACCAGCCTATTATCCATCACACTGTGCTGTGACCACAGGGGGAAAGAAAAGTTTGTTATTTAGATGACCAGCCGTGAGCAATTTGGCACTGGCAACCTTGTTTGCAGTTCTGTTTTTGTACTGAACACTTAATTGTGGCCTCTTGCTCTAGGTTTGGTGATGGCTACACAGTGATCGTGAGGGTTGGTGGCTCTCCTCCCGTGTTGACGCCAGTTGAGGACTTCATGCAGCAGAACTTCCCAGGCAGCGTCCTGAAGGAGAAGCATCACAACACGCTGCAGTATCAGCTCCCATACACACAGGGAGCTTTGGCCAACATCTTCAGCCAGTTCACCATCCATCAGCACAGTCTGGGTGTGGAAGACTACTCTGTGTCTCAGACCACTCTGGATCAGGTAAGGCCCAGAAAATGGGATAAGTTAAACTTTTTGACGAGTCTTTGAAGTGTGTCTAATTTCATTTCATAGTTTCATTCTAGCCATTTGACAGGTACAACATCAAGGATTTATTTGTTGTTGTCTTTTTTTAAATAACCACTGTCATGTTTAAGAAAAGTGCAAGAAACCACAACCTGATTTTGTTTCCAAAAGCCAGTTGCAAGAAATATGTTCAGAAAACATTTTCTTAAAAAGTCCTACAAACTTTATAGGAATAAAAAAGTGTGGCCATTACTCACTGTAGTAAAGCATATACTGCATATAAGTTACTAAAGCCTGGGCACAACACAGGTGCAGACTGAGCACAATACAGTATAGATAAAATTTAGCTTCAATTTAGATTTGTGGAGTCTACCAATAGACTTTATTCTACATCATTCCCCCTGACATATGTAAGTGAAAGGATGACAGACAGCACATTGAGGCCTGCAGATATTCAGGGTATAATAATAGACATTTCTGGCTATTAGGGAGAAATTATGCCGCAGACTTTAGGCTATTTATCAGGCTTATTCAGCTGAACCTATGACATATGACGTCACTTCTTCTTTGCTTTTCTTCATCTAATTTGTGGACATTAAAGTTTTGCAGACATCTTTCACAAAGGACTTTAAGGCTTTGTTTTATCTTAGCACTTATCATCACCATGCAGGAGAGTGAATACATTGTAAAGCCATAGACCAGAAGTTTTCAAAGTGGGAGGTGGGCCTACCCAGGGGGGGTCCAAACTGTTTCAGGGGAGGTTCAGTGAATGGAAGTGGGGGGGCTTTTTCTAAGCTTTGTCTGCGGGGAGTCTCAGACTTTGAAAACCCCTGCCACAGACTAACTAAGTATGAATGTTCAATTGAGATTGAGTAATGTACTGGTCTCATTCACTAACAAAGACCACGCCTACGAACGTAGAAGGTTAACAATGGTTTATTGCTTGTAATGGGGCCGAGATAGATTGCATGAAAAGAACGGATCGAGTGCCCGGAGGGTGGGCTGAGGGATGTAGGGATGGGGAGAGGGTCGAGGGATGAGGGGTAGGGGTCGAGGTGTGGTGGATGAAGGGTTCAGGGGAAGACAGGTGGGGGATGAAGGGGAGGAGTCAGATCCGCGGCGATGGATGCGTGAATGAAGAGCAGACCGGTGTCTACTGGTGAGAAGGTGTGCGGGAACCGGTGGAGCCGTCTCTTAGTCCGCGGACGTGCAGAAACCTGTATGCAAACAAAGAGAGGGAAGGGAGCATAGGGAGAGAGAGGGAAAAGAAAGGGATTTGGGTGTGAGGGATGAGAAAGCCTAGATGAGGGGAGGTGAACGGAGAAGGTGCGCTTAAGTACTAGGTGTGCGGAAATTGGATGAGTTTGAGGCGTGGCCTTAGTTCCCGAATTTAGTTTATAAAACTTCACTTTGTGATGGATCTCTGTCATACCAGCTGTTGAGAGCATACTGGGGAAAAAAGCTTCCCATTTCACATTGTAGCTGATTATTAAATATGATTTTGGTATTTTGCCCCAAGTCGCTGCATAGATTAACCCATGCTTTTTTTTTCTAGAGGTGAATATACTGCCCCTTTGATCAGTATCCCATAGTATCATTCTCCAAGGTAAATGTAAAAAAGTAATCAACTGAAACCTCTTTGTCTCCATTCATTGTTACTACTACAGAAAGCCAGCAACACATGTATTCCAATCTCTCAGTTTTCATCTCTACCGTCAGAAATTGTGGCAATATATTTGCAAATAATATTCACAAGGCTTTACCCACACAGAGTCCATGCTGTGCTTTTTTCTCTTGTGCACATGGTTTGCCCACGTGTGGCTATGCACTGGGAAAAACATGTTTCTAATGTTAACCCGAAGCCTCTGAAAAGCGCACTCCATAATGTGTGAAACATTTCTGCTGAGTAGTTATAGTGTGAATTGTGGAAACTTGCTTATTTCCAAAAGGCACAGACTGATGACAAATATTCCTTTATACAAATTAAGTGTTATTGATGCATGAGTCCCTCTGCTAGCCGTAAAGTATTTTGAGCTTGTACAGTAGCAGGGGATGCACCGTTTGATTCCAAATTTAACTTGTGACATGGAAAAAATGTGGGCTGACTGTAGTCAATCCAGGGTCATGTTCTATTGTCCTACTGTTATTCTGTGGCATGTCAACTCAGTTAAACAGATCATTAGGTCATCAGTCAATGCATTCAGCAATTTAAGTGCTCTCAGTTAATGCAAGTCTGTTCAGTCCATGGTAAGATTTAAAGATCTCTGATTGCCTACACATTGTCTTCTCGCATTAAGGCTGTGAGACTGACCAATGACGACTACACTGAGCCAAGATAGTTCAGCAGCCAGGTCCCAGTATCGATCAAGAATCTGCACTGAGGTTTTTTTTTGTTGTTGTTGTTTTTATATCTACAAAGCCCCTTCAGCCAGTGCTTTTTTTATTTCCAGCCCTATTGCACTAGCTAGACCCCCTGATTGGTGAGATAAACTGAACCCTGCATGTTACGGACTGGCTCCACCTTGTGTTTTCCAAATGGCCCCGGGGGCCTGATGCAATCAGGCACTCAGAGGCGAGTGTGAGTGTGTCTGGTCTTGCAAGCCTGCCATTAGCTCAGCAGCAGATGACTGGGTGGGAGGTGAGGAGGACCTCTGAGCAGCCCAGAAAGGTCATCGGTCCACTCCACCACGTGGGGGAAAAGCACCTCTTCATGGATTTTAAAAAATACAGACAGAGATGTTTGTACCTTTCAGTGTTGTATTTAAATCAAATTATGTGATATAAAGAATACTAAAGGGATGGGACATTTCATTATCAACATGATCCCCTTGTGGATAAGCCCTAATTCAAGATAAAACCATCTTTTGCAGCATTATTTAAGTGAAATATGCCCTTTAGGGGGCAATTAGCCTACCACTATGACAGGAAAGGAATTTATGAAATAAAGTTAAATACTTTAAGTGAGTGTGGGTTACAATCAGATTCCTATTTCCACTTCATTTCATTGGTTTTCAGCAACACTACTACCTCTAACCTTGCGTAATGTCTGTTTTAACTTTTTCGTCATCTCGCCCCACATTCTACACTGGTCAATATTTACCAGATCAGAGGCAGTAAATAAATCATACTTGAACCAGGAGGTCATAGTATTAAAACACAGAGGGGAGGACTGGAGAACCTGTGGAGACCCAGACTGTCACCTTTCAGCTGGTGATTTATAGAGAAATGCCTTGACCTATAGTGTAACAACTGGCTTGCACTACAATTAATATTGATCCACACAGACTGGAGCTCAGGAGCTAACCCTGATGGCCAAGACGGTGAAGAGCATATAGCGCATTTGAAAGAAAAATGTGACTTTCTGTCTTTAGAAGCAGACTGTGTGGCAGGAATGTGAAGTATTTGGTCATTTGTGTGTAGACAATGGTCCACATTCAACCTTGTCACTACTGCACGCTCTGAAGCAGGTGGTCTTTTTGTTTCAGAATATATGTAGTCTTAATTATCACTTGCACTTTCCTGCATTCTTATGTTCAGCCCAAATGTTATTTAATTTCATGTATTTTGCTTTTCTGGCTAGAGAATAGTCCTGATTGAATTCCTTCCCCTGTCAGAAGCTAACATGCTTTCACACAATGTGACTATTGGTAATTTACAGTCCATCCTATTGCCTGTTAACTATAGTAAATGTTAGACGCAGCCCTACTATAGATCCATCCATCCATCGTCAACCGCTTATCCTGCGTACAGGGTCGCGGGCCTATTATAGATGTCTAAATAATATATTTTCTAGGTAATAAATAAAAATAAGTTATAAAAATATCAATTATAGGTATGATGATAATGTGTGAAGATGCTTACAAGCCTATGTGAATGTATATTAATGCTTTAATGATTTATAAAAGCTTTTAACCACATGCATTCTAGTTTAGACTAAAGCAAACTCTTCCACCACTAAAGAACATTTCAAGTAGCATGGCAAAGCATGGACATGTGGATCACATGTATATAAAAATAGCCATTTTACATTCTGCAAGGACTCAGTTTGATCTACAGGAGAGGTTAATTGGGTGATTCACGTCCTACCCCTCCTCTGTTCTGCCTCAACGGGCATCAAACAAACACCCAAATGTATCTCCTGTAATGTAATTAATGTCTGTATCCATCTGTTATTAAGAAAATGCCACTCAACAGCACTGGTGCATGACGATTAGGTCATGAATGGATGGTTGGCTAAATACAGAAAGTGTGCATTATAGCAAAGTCACATCACAAAGCAGGGGATGAATTTACCATGGTCATCTCAGTCAGAAATGCTTTAAACCGCACCATTGAAGCACTTATCTCCTTGCCGAAAGTTAAATTCACACAGTACTTACAAATTCTATTGCAAAACTATATAGCCTTGACTATGAATATGAAATGCTGTGCATGCCTCAGCACATCAAGCCAATATCAGCCAGTGGCAGGGTCAGAGGCCGAAAAATGGATGGAGGGTGTATTTGTTGCTACTGTCATTCTTTTACTCTTACTCATTCTGCCCCGATAAGATGCCTTGACAAATGTGACCTTGATACACATTGCTGATGGTTGGAAATCACACACACACAGAAGCGTACTTTAGCCTCGGGCGTTCTGCAGACATAGCTTGCTTCTCCGTTACAAGGTAGTCTGCTGTTTTGCTTTTTTACACCCAACTAGCCACCAGCTCCATGAACTTTGAGGTCAGGAAGCTTTACATGTGTAGGGACCATATTCCAATAAAATCATAGTTTGAACAAGCAGTGTTGGTGGGATAAGAGTTGTTGCTTATGCTTTACAATATGTGAAGTGGCAAAAGCCTGTTCTACCTTGGAGTGAACAAAGGACCATAATCCGCTCTTGTATAATTAGAATTTCTCTCTAGAACCATGGCAATTAGATTGCATGAAATCCCGAGTTTAAACTGTTGTTCGACTCCTTAGTTAAAACCAGGTTCAAATAGTAAAAGAGCAGAATTTGCCACCACGCATTACTACTGCCAACCTGCCCTTGAGCAAGGCATTTAACCCCGAACTGCTTCAGCTGGTCTGATACACATATAGTGTTTGTACTGGGCTGCTTCTAAGAGTGACTTTGAAGCACAGTTTTTCTGTGCTCAGAAAACATTTAGGAAATATCAGCTGTAATAATACTATAGGTATTCTGAAGGGACTAGAACCATGAAATCAAGGTTGAGAGTAGGACTTTATGTCTGATGATCAGTACTTAACATAGTTACACTTACACCCATGCACTAAAAAGTACATTACATTTTTGTTCATATGGTTGAAATCATATGGTTCCATATTAAAGGAATGGTTCGACATTTTAGCAAATATGCTATCACTTTCTTGTGGATGAGAAGATCGACATCATTCTCTGGTCTGTGTGTTAAGTACTGAGTTAGAGCCAGGAGGCAATTCGCCTAGCTTAGCAAAAAGACAGGGGTAAACTGCTAGCCCGGTTCTGCTCAAAGGTAAAAAACAAACAAAGAAAACAAAACTGCCTAGCAGCACCTCTAAAACGTCTTTAAATTTTGTATGAATACAAACAACAACAAATAGAAATGTAAAAACAAATTTGTGGGGGGTATTTTATTAATTTTATTTATAAGCATCTGAAGACCCTTTACAGGGAGCTACGGTAAGCTAATTGTTACGTAATGTACAGATATGAGAGTGGGATTGATCTGAAAACAAATAGGTGTTTGCTATTTATTAAAGGTTTCAGTGTATATAGTAAATGACCATAGCCTATTCCATGAGCAATGGCTATGCCCCCTGTTCCACATTTTCACCACCAAAGACAAAGATATTACACCGTTAACACATCAGAGTAATTGGCAAACCCCGTCCTTTGTTCAAAAAATTGCATTTACCAGTGTTAATAAGACTTTTTCTCTTTATCATTAACATTAAATTATAAGGGTACTGATTATATAAATTGGCTAATTAAAAACAGAGGCTTCAAAGGCTGACAGGATAGGTCTTTATTACCCAGTCTTCATTATCTGAGCTTCTCAAAAACAAAAGCCCAAAAGGATACTATTGTTTATTTCTGTTCGTTTATGCTCTGTCCCATTTCATTTACTGGCGAGTGTGTAGCTGTGAAGAGTGATTTAATTCATAGGGAGTCGTAGTTTCTGTGATGGAATTGGTCTGAGAGATCTTTTATGTCTTTTTTTTCCCCCCCATTGAGATTTTAAATACAATCTAGTAATTCACATACCCTTTTATATTCACACAGCCACTGAAATTCTTTTAATGAAAAAGCAATGCTCTTATCATTTTATATGATCCTCTTTGTTCTTTTTTTCCTGTTGAGTAAAAATCCCTGCGTGAAGCTTTACCACAACAGACAGCTAATGCTAAGAGAATAAAAATCCTAGACTACAGTGATGTTTACAGCACAATGAAATACACACAGCTTTTTTATGAACGCCATAGGATTGATTTCCTCTGACATTAAATGGGCATCACAGAGAGAAGAATGATTGTTTTATTCTCTTTCTCAGCTGGTCAAAGATGTCAAACTGACATTCACTGTGTGAGCCTAGACGCTTACTTGATGCTTCACAGCCCTTGTCTGGCTACTCATTCACATGCACCCCGTCGTCTGTACTACTAGTTCTGTTTGTTTTAGAGGCAGAGGGCGAGGGAGAGCAAAAATGAGACGGGTAGAGAAATGTCGTCAGGCCCTTCAGTTATGTGTGTATTATACGTTTTATTTATCTTGAATTTGCCTTTAAGTGCCTTCTTTTCCTCATTGAAATTCCAGGTCTTTGTAAACTTTGCAAAGCACCAGCATGGGGAGAAGGACCTCGAGGCCCATGACAACCCAGTGGACACTTCAGATGAGCTGCCATTCGAGTCTGTTAAGACCTCCCAAGAAGCAGAGAAGGTGTAACACCAAACTTGTCACTTTTGCACAGCCTTGTTTAGAGACCGAGCGTACTAATGCCTGGAACTGGTCAACAGTGACATTTTATTATTTATGGTGGCTTCCATAACTATTTCTACCCATGCTTAACCATCTATAACATAACTAATCCAAAACATGTTAAACTATAAATGTCTTTAACTTAAAATTAAATGTTATTTCTGTCTAAGAACTGTATTTTCTTAAGTCTAAAAGAAATATTTTATTTTCTCAAATAGCTAAAAAGGTTGTTTCAGAAATGTTTATGTTCAACAACTGACACAATGCAGTGTGCAACTAACACAGTTTGATTTTGTTTTGAGTGTACTGCTGACCTTTCTATACCTCAGGAGGACTGAATGATCCTCTGAAAGCATCATACATTGCACTGTATTTAGGATATCTCAGGAATGAACTTCAAATTTAATTATATTTCTTTACATTTACATCTTCACAAAATTAATGATATTTTGCATGGTACAACTATATAAAAGAGTAGATGCGGCCCTGATGTGTTTCAGTGGGTGAGCAGGTCAAATATCGAGCTCCATACTGATTAATAGTTGAATCACCTATTGACATTTATAGACATATCAAAGAATACTCAGAAGCGACTAATCTAGGAATATTTGTCAACACAAATCATAAAAGGCATTTATCCATAGTTGTTTCCAACCTCACACTGTGATTCGCCGACAGGCGCTTGATGATTACCTGTGATATTAAAATTAATAACAACAACTCTGTCAGATGTGTTGACTCTGAATGTCTGAATGAGCCTCCAGTGAGCTGTAGATGGTGTTTAATGAACGACACTGAGGTTTATGGCAGTGGGACAATGCAGAGTCAGAGTCAACCAGCTGTCAAACATGTCTGCAAGAAAGACAGCACGTCCCATGCGTGCACCAGCCACGACATTCGAGGCATTGCTGTCTGTTTGTATCATGAATATAACCGGAGACATATCAGAAATACCTCTCAACAATTACTAATGAATCTAGATGAAGGAGATTTTTTAATGGACTGCTTGCTGGTATTGGCGCTGGTGTGTTTGTCTATGACCTCTAGACATTTAGTGGCACTATGATAGAATACAGCACTCCGTCTCATGCACAGAGCTCCAAGGTTAAAGTGAATATATTGTGTCACAATGTGCCTTTTAAACACCCATTGACAGCCCTTATCAATCAACATTGACACTGGATAGCAGCATGCCTTATTTCTAATAACAAAAATGTAAAGTTTTTAAACTGTAAAATGGCTTTTCTGTTAATTACACAACACAGCTGTTTTTTAATGTTATATGTGCAATTTTGACTCAGGAATCTGCAGGGAAAGCGTTATTCATACTAAAGTCTTGTTATTTTCCCAATGCATTTTGCTTATGCAGCTTACATTACTTGGCACTTACTTCAGAATGTAAATACTTCTTCAATTCACCACTCACGGGCGGTCTGGTTTACCTTGAGAGCTTGACATAATTTGTATGCTGTGCTAAGTCCTCACATTACTATAATGCCCGCTGAATAGAATAATGACAAATATTTGCACTGAATATTGATTCATGTCAAGACAGATTAATAAACATTTACACAAATTGTAATGCCTCTCTGACTTTAATTTTTGCACATTGCTTTATTTGTCAGCTGATTAATTGGGTCCCAGTTTGTTTTATTGTCCTTCTTTTCACTCCTTCCTGTCTTTCACTTTGAGTGTAGCTTTCAGATGCAGGCTCACATTTGTTGAGTCTCTCGTGCGTCCATCCTTAAACTGAGACCATGGGATGCCAGAATACAGACTGCTAGGGATTGGGTAAGACATTTTATTTCCCATTTAGTGGAGTCGCTCCTTCTCAAAGGGGAAGAGACATTTTGTCTGCCAGATGCCTGAGAGTACATTCATTCTCATGTCAAACGATCACACATTCATTCACATTCATTGCAATATCACAAAATACGTGGCTCGTTTTGGAACAGTCTGTCCTCTACCACATTTCCTGTTTTTGCCTTTTTCTAGATCAGACAATCGGACCGTGGCTGATCTGTTTAAGTGTCTGCTCTCAGTCTAAATGATATGAGGTATATGGATTGCTATATTTTTTATATTATGTTTTCTCTCTCAGATGCAATCCTCAGTAAGTTTATGCCAACTCCAACCGGTTTGTAGTTTTCGCTGTGTATCATCTTGGCCCACAGAAACATCTGTGTTGTCTCTAATCCTGCAGACAATACTCCCAGTCTACAAGGGGACATCTATTAGTTAGTCCAGAAAAGTTAGATGGACATTTTAGTGTTATTATGACACTTTATTGACTATACAAACAAACTGATGAATTGAAAGAAAAGATCCCTGATGACTTGCAGCCATGGTTTGATTAGTTTATTTAGATGTATGTACATGTAAGTAATCTCCATTCTGAATGGAATAAATAGAATAATTGTGTGATATAAATACACTTAATTAACATATGCAATAGGCTATAATGTATGTGCAATTTAATTAATTTTGTTTAAGATTATCTTAGTAAAGATGTGGGTCTATTACCTGCCTGTAAGAATGAGAAAATCACAGGTGAGTACTTGAAAAATGACTTTTTCCTCCTACTCTGACCCTAAAATCCCCACTTCAGTTATACACCAAACATTCCAGTCGTATTTCTGACTTTATGCTGAAGGTTTTTCCAGATGGGTTTGCTCATATATCATTCTTAGCCTGAAAACTCCCCAAAAACTCTCCAAAAACAGGTCGAAAATTGTTTTTTTATGCCTCTTGACAGTATTTTTTGATTTAATAAATAATAGAGATTTTCAAAATCCCCTCTGTAAAAACATTTTAGTATAATTTGTCAACAAAATAAAACATAAATTTTAAACCCGACTTAATCTAGTATTCAGATTTCAGTTCTTGAAATAGCATATTTTTCATTAGATACTGCCTCATTTGCATATTTAAACACAATATTTCAGAAAACCTGTAATTCAAAAATATATATATCTTAATGTCAGGTGATATCTATTAGTTAGATTTGTTTACCCTATTTACCTGCAGTGTTTTGCCTTAATAGCTCTAATATGACCTTTATAGTTCCTCACATTCCCCACATACAGTAATAAATCTTAATCTTGTTAAAATCTTGCTTTAACTTGAGTATTTTGAGTTAATGTTGGGTCTTTCTGCTTGTGTCACACCTCCCGTCTTTCTTTACTCATTAGAACGCCGAGCTCTGGGGCACGCTGCCAGAGGCAATCAGTCAGATGGGAACTTCACAGAGGCGATAAAACTCGAGTCTTAAGGTGAGATTACTTGTCACATTCCGCCATTATTCCCTTGCACTTTCCGTCCCAGTGTAATACTTGGTAGGTTTATGAGCAGAGGTTACATTACAGATCAGGAGAGTTTGGTGTGCAGGACTCAGCATGCAGGCTGTTAATTTGTTCGAGCTATTGAGTCCTCAATACATATCTTATATGTGCAGAGCCACGTAATTTTTTTCCCCATGTAGACTAAGCTATTAGAGGCCTTTCATTACATTTTCATTTAATTGTCCTCCTCCAACATACCAACCACTAAAAGAAAATGCCCACTTTCCATGCAGTCGTAAGCATTATTAGTTTGCATGAAATGATAGCGAGTGCAAAATTACACCCAGGAACACAGGTAACAACACATAAAAGACTATTTTTATATTGCAAGGAATTCATTGTTGCACCAGTTTCATTGGAGTAACATTTGTTTATTGCTTCCTCTTTAAAAAATAATAATAATAATTTTAAATCCCTGGCAGTTTATCCCCATTTTATCATCAAATTATTTAGCATTGGCTTAGTTTAGCGTTTGCAAAATCAGTGAAATTGTGCTCTTAGATGATAAGTTCACAAACACACACGGATAATATGATTTTTATTGCTCACACTGTACATGCAATATTCTTTCCCGTGACTCAACCTTTTCCCGGTCTCGGTGTCAAGTTCAAGAATACAATAAAAGGCATTGTCAGTCAGAATGGGAAGATTACAGGACTTAGAGGAGGTTCAATGATCTACTCGACAGGCGAGCTTTACAGCAAGCTCCTGCCACCCTTTCAGGCTGTAATCACTCTTTGTACTCTGGAGTTTGCTGTTCTTGCTTCGGGGTACTTGTTACATACTGTCTAGAAAAGGTAGTAATTTATACAGTGTCTCTGTTCATCTCACTGCAGTCAAACTACTACAGACACTTCAGAGGAACTTGTATCTTTGACCATCTAGAATGATTTTTAAAATAATGTTAGATTTTTTTTTTTAGTGATTGTGTTTCCATTACTTCATTCATTACTTTTCTTTGTCGTAGTCTTTGGGTTTATATTAAACTGTGCTGAACTTCTGTCTATTCATCCGACTGAACTCGCAAAATATTGAAATGCTTTGTTTTGCTGTTGGAATATGTAGACCCAAAATGTTGGTAGACTGTATTAAATACCAAATGGTGTGAATAAACACAAACAAAATATGCATTTTATCTATTGTAATTGTGGATTTCATTCCAGTGTTTATTTTGGAATGTCCTCCAGAAAGTTCAAAGGTTTTATTTAACAACAACATTTTTCCTTATAACCATTTTATACTTACTAGCCACTTACCATCACAAAGCCTTCATCTGTCAGTCATGACAAACTGGGCAGAGCCGGTTACTGTGACTGAGACCATAGCTTATCACATAAAAATAATTTGTTTACTTATTTTGTTGCCTTTTGCGTTGTAAAATGGACTGGCACAGAGATTAATAATGGTTACAGTGCCCAGTATTTGATAACTGTACTTTCTTCTGCTCCACCCCCAGAAAATTTTGAGCGTTAAACACTTCATTTCCTGCACTGGTGAGTTTTTCTGCCTCTTCTTGCCTCAATGGTGGAAATATCTTTATTTATGTTTAAGAAACACAAAATTCAGGTGGCAGATGACAATTTAAAATCTGAAAATATATTGGAATATAATGCAGTAATTCTCACCGGCATTCTATATTGCTTTCAAATATGTATCCTCCTGTAGATGAACTTTTCACATTTAATATCATCCCTGCTGAGTCAACACACATGTAGGAGTGATTTAGTCTTCCCTCCTCTGTTGTGTCTTTTGTTTGGAGAAGTAACCTCTTTAAATGTGCATGTGGGAAGCATCCTGGAGCAGTGAGACGGTCCCAAACAGAGCAAAAGTGTCTCTAAGCGGGAGGGACGCAGAGACAGCATCAGCACAGAGCTACCGGTCAAATGAATGATGCCACACTGCACTTTTTACAAGTCTAAATAACTGTAGACTGTAGGGACTATTCATTCCCTACACTGTAAACCCAAATAAGTTCAGAATACTCAAAATATTTGTGGAAGCTGATTACCTCAAACTTTTTAAGTAGTGGTAATAATATTTTTGAGTAAACCTTAATTTTTAAAAAACCTTTCATTTCTGCATACTGAATAACACTGATTTTAAATGTAATTGTGCACAACTTATACTCTGATGGAAATGTATTGTGCTAGACTCAAATACTAATGGAAACTCACTCAACAAAATTACTACTAGTAAACTTAAAATTTATAAAATCTCATTTTCAGATAGTAGTCTTCAAAAATACAAATACAACTCCATTATTACAATTCAAGTTCTCTTTATTAGTCTCATCTTCTCACATCTTCCATCATTTCTACAACACACAAAATAAGGCACATCTTGCATAAAGCTAAAGTAATTGACTGCTTGATGTTTTCATTGTTTTTTGCAATAATGTTGAACATTCTCCATTTCCCGATTCTTAATGAGATTTTTTGGTGTTAAATGATCTTGAGCTAAATAAAATTGTTATGTGGAAAAAGCGACTATGCATAATTTTATTCCAGCAGTTTTACTTAAATAATATAAAAGGGAGCTTTAAATGTATAGTTTTATGGAATCATAAGAAAATAAAGATTGTTTAAAATAAGAAGTCCCACACAATGCAAATTTTTAAGTCAGGTAGACGAGGTAAAGGATCAATATCAGGGTTTCTGCAGGTTTCACCTGGTCAGATTTAAGACTTTTTAAGACCATTATGAATGAAATTTAAAACCTATATCACCACTTAAAAAAAGAAACGCAAAGGAAATGCAGTCACAAAATTACATGCAGAGTAAATCAATGTATTCAAATTAGGGTTGAGTGATGTCTACAGAATTGGCATCGGACGATGTCAACAATGAAACACCGGGATGGACGATGATATTGATAAACTACGTAATTAGCTGTAATATGTATTTGTAAAGGAATATTTTTCCACTGTGGTAATGAAAGTTGGTGAGGAATGTTCAGTTTTTATTTAAATCTAATATTATTATTTGTTCATTTTGGCAGATGTAGTTTGTGGTCTGTACTGTATTATAAACAGCTGAGTCTCTTTTATTTAGCATGGCCTCACTGAGATAAATATAGACAAAATATCAGAAACACCGGTCCATGTGATCCAAAACGATCATACAGTTGAAACAAAAACTGAACATAATCATTTTTATGAAGGGAGGATTTATTGCAGAAATGTTGGATTAAACTGCTTTAAATTTAGCTAGATGTACCAAATAAACTGGTAACTAAGTCTTAA